GAGCATGATTTTAAACAGTAGCTATGGACTGTCTGGAATGGTAACAGCAGGGAAAGCATGAAAGCAGAGACATGAAATGTCTGCAGAGCAGCAAATGGGGACCCTGGAGCAGCAGAGACATGGCCAGAGCAGTTCACTGATTCTTTGCTCCCCGGGTACCTCCCCCACCCTGTCCTCTGCCCTCCTTCCCAGAATTGCACCGTCTGACCCTGGCCTCAGTGCCCCACCTCTAATCCACCCCTGCCCACCTCAGCACATAGCCTCCCACACTCAGGGCTGCTTATACCTGGCTCTCAGTAAAGGGAAGCCTAAATTCTTCCCTCGGGAAAAAGACTTGGGCCCTGACTTCCCCACCTTGGAGACCCTCGTGGCAAATCACACTTTGTCCTCTGTCTCTGAGCAGACATGTGGGGACAGTTGATCAGGCTGTCTCCTCCACTCAGCAGTGAGTATGTAGGAACCCACCAGACCATCTGGATCCCTGTTACTGTCAGAACCTAGCCCAGTCCTCGCCACAGGTACTCACTAATTGTCTGATGGACTGGTCCCCCTTAGGACTGTGGGCTCCTGACCTTCTCCCTCCCTGTCTGCTATTTCTCTTCCTGAGTGGCCCCCATTGTCTGCTTTCTCATCTCCCAGCCCGAGGGTACTGGAGCAAGTCATAAAACAGGGGTGAGTGAGGGTCTGACTGAGTAGGACCCCAAATCGGCTCTTCATCTTGCCTCTTCAGCAGTTCCAAGCCTCCTTGCCTTCCCACAAATGTCAACTCTTCTCTCTTCATCTCAAAGGAGGACCTCCCTGCTCCCTAAATGATAAGGCAGAGAGCCTCAGACATGAGCTGCTGTGCTCCTTCCCCTGCCTGGAGCAGTTCTTTGTGTGAAGAAAATCAAAGATGCAAGGAAAACACTCAGTCTGAGGGACCGGTGGATCATGTGAGCTTCAGCCTCCACAGTCCTGAGGCCAGAACTAGATGGTGCCCGGCTCCCACTGACAGCCACTCTGCAAGGGATCACAGTAGGAGATTCTGGATAGAGTGGGAGAACAATATAGAACAAAACTCAATAAAAAGACTAGGTTCACTGGCCTGATAGAGACTGGTGGAACCCTCAAAACTGTGGGCCCTAGTCACTCTTCAAGCTTGGACTGAAACTCAACCCCATGGCTCAACTTTCAGCCACGCAATTGACAGAACTATGATGTGAACCGTAACCCCAGGGAGGTAAGCACTCCTTAGAACAGTCAACCACGTGGGATCCAAAGCGCAGCATTTGCCTGGGGATCAATCTCAGAAGGCGGGAAAGCAGGATGAAGGGACGTGGTACCCACAGGGAGGAAGTGGGAAGAGTTCTTTTACGTTGTAGGGATTGCAATCAGTCATGAAACAAAATGTGTATGAAGTTCTGAGTGGAAGTCTAATTTGCTCTGTAAACTTTCACCCAAATTACAATGAAAAGCTTAAAAAAAAAAAAAAAAAGCTACCATTTTAACCATTTTAAAGTGTCCAAGTCAGTGGCGACTATGTTTAACACTTTGAGGAAATGCTAAACGGTTTCCAGGCCAGAAGCACCACCTTCCATTC